CATTAAAATTGAAAAAAATAAATTAAAAATTATGTACTCAAAATAATAAGACCTCAATAGTCGTGGGATCAAAAGATATATTAATTCAAAAAAACAAAAAATAAATCAAAAAACAAAACAAAACAAAAAGCTAAGTGGTCCCTAACTCTTCAAGGTCATCCAATTAATTAACATATTTCTTCTATTATTTTGTTAAGAGAAGAGTGATGAGATGAAGCTCCAAACGTTGCTTTCATATCCAAACACCAAGATTACTATGTCATCATTGAAGATCAACAATGAACCAAACTAGGACTTAGCTAATTAATGAAGACAAAGTTTTGAATATTTTATACTTTGTTTATGTGAAAAGAATATATATGTGATATAATGAAATCTGATTAAATCTATAATATAATTAACACGAAAGCAAGTAAGGCAATAATCATGCCTTGTTTCCTACTTTGCTGCTTCATTGATTCAATATAATGCACAAGTATAGCCTACCTACTTTTTACATATACACTTTTATCCTTATTTTTCACGGCCTAAAAGACTGAAACTAACGGAAGAACTATAACAGGTTGAAATTCAAAAGTCGAAGGACCATAGATGGTCAATTTAAAAGTTTAGAACTAAACGTGACGAAATCACCATACTCAGAGTACCTCAGATGGCATTAACTCATATATTAACTATAGATACATAGTCTGAATGTCGTTTTTGGACTAAGGTTCACAATGCAATGTGAACCCTGATAAACAAAGGCATATATAAGCAAAATATAATGTGAACTAATAATAAATGTTTATTTTTAGTGTATTTAATGTTCATTTTAATGTATCGAATGTTTATTTTTAAGTAATTTATTAAAATAAATATTTAATACATTAAAAATAAACATTTAGTATACTAAAACTAAACGTCTATATGTCAGTGATCCATTTTATAATATCAACCAGGATAGACATTATAATAACTAAGGCATATCAAGCTTTAGAAAGAATCCCACTAAAATTATGATCTTGTAAGTAAACTGCACATTATTTCTATTCTCAACATACTTTACATGTATCACACACATTTGACTATCAAACATGTGTCACACACATTTTACAATCAAAAGGGTGGTTAATTATCTTGCATAATTATGGAACTTGAATTTTGGGTACAAATTATCTTGCATCATTTTCGTGCATTTTGTCCCTTTAAAATTTTACCATGTTCAGGGTGATGTGTAAATATACATGATAGAGACTGAGATATCCGTAAAATTTGAATTGAATTACTAATTTTAACATGATTATGCATAATTATAAGTGATGAACATAATCTCAATTAATATGAAAAATATAATCTTTGCAGAGATTTTCAGGAGTTAGGAAATCATATATCACTTGGTCTCTCCCCTTCTAAAATTACTCATTTACTAAACTTTATCAAAGTTAGATTAGTGTGAACGTAACCTTAAAAATATTACTCCATTAGCCAGATACACAGCATTTAAATATTTAATGGTAAATCATCACAAATTATACACTAAATCGAGATCAACATTCAAATTATGTACAATCTGAAAATAATATAAAATTTATTAATTAGAAATGCATAATATATTATCTGTATGTATATAATTTTAAAAGAGTTTACCGAATTTATAATGAACTTCGACCCATAATATACCAATTGGTGATGTAATACATCGTGAAAATAGTGCAAAATATGCTTTATCCACATAAAATGGGATAAAGTTGAAATTTCAACTTTTAAAGTTGATTATAGGAAGGAATTCTATAATTTCTACAACCGTTGAAGGTGGTGTGATCCAGCTTTTAGGCCACGGCGGTGCATATAGAGAATCAAATCTTTGACTCTTTAGAAAAATGATAAAATTATTTTTTGTGGACCAAACTGCGACTTCAATCAGTCTTTTGAGATGTTAAAATTAAAATGAAAGAAAGCACATTGTTGGGTGGAGATTGGTCCGCAACTATTCTCTACTGCTTAGAAAGAGCCGTGAAAGTGGTATCTTCCTTTTCCCCATTTTTTAATAAAAGCCTGGAAATTATAAATTTTAAAAAATTAATATTTGGTAAATTTTTTAATGTTACTGGCTCTATTACAATGTAGTATTTGATAAATTATTTATGTTAGAATTTAATTCTTCTAATTTAAAAATTGATAAGGGTTAATATAATTAGTATACTAGTGGGTCATGGTAACTAGAATAACATAATTCTTGACAAAAATATAAATGAAATTTGAGTAACATTTACCAAGAAAAGAATATCAATCTAGTTTATATGTTACCGCTACGTGACCAATTGCATCATATCTTTTGTTTGGGGGTCAATTTCTCCTTATCCAATGCATTGAAATATATCTTCTTTTCTTCTCTTAAAAGATTGAATTCAAACTAAGGGTTCTCCACGTCTCGACTCGACAAAGCATGTAGGAGGAGATAAATCATGATAACTCAATAACTCAGCAGACAGGACGCGCCAATGTCAGTGCGCACAAGAAATTTGTCGGATTTGGACATAATTCCACACTGCCTATGCCAAGTTTGGAATCTTAATTAGCTTCTTCTCTCAAATACTGTATATATATACTAAATCATTGAGTTAAACCGTGCAAACAATATATCCTCTTTTCTTTTGTACACAATCAATGTCAAAGCCTAACGCTAGAAGTAAGTTTTAAGTCCAACTTCTTATCCAATAAACAAATATTTTGGAGGCTGTGGCCTTTGTGTGACCATTTTATATCACCATTTTGTAACATACTACCTAAAAATATAATAAATGATGATAAAGTAAAACAACATGATTAAAAAGAATCTTTCTAGAACTTGATTAGTAAGAAAGCTCTTTTAATAATGATGGTTCGTGTGTCCTAAAAATTGAGGGCATGTCTTTCTTCCCTCTGTTAGGGACTTCTATACAATTGAGAAATTTTTACTTTTAGTCCCACAAGTATGAGACCATTTTTACATTTGATCTCTGACTATTAAAATTTACAGATTTAATTTTGTGACTTTTAAATTCCTATTATATTTGGTCATTTAGATCAAAATTCTAACCACCAATGACTATTTTTTCGACGGGTGAATTAACTTAAGGGCAAAATTATCATTTTCTTGGACTAATGCACAACAACAACACATGATATGTGAAAAGAAGTCATCAACACCACCTCCCTGAACAAGTACCGTGAAGGAAAACTGAGTTAGATCCCGACGAGTCTAGCAGGTCAAAATGCAGCAATACAAAATAAATCAACATTTAGATTCAGGTAAATTATTTGTTTAACAAATTCACAAAATGAGTAGCTACAATGCTTCTATGGAGTAAATTCAAATCTAGAACGTTGTACCCTTGTCATCAACTTGAAGCAGTAAACTATTTTTTTTTTTTTTTTGAAATTGCAAAGGCTAAGACAGTAAACTGGGAGCATTTAGTTGCTTGCTTAAAGATTTTCCAGTTCAATGTGCTAATGATAAGAGGTACCTTAATGTTGAGAACGCTTCGGAGCTTTTACTTGATGCAGCATGTATAACAACATCATTTTGATCTGAAGGACCAAATGTGGTAGGATTTTACCCTTAAATTAATTCACTCGCAAGAAAAATAGTCACTTGTGGCCGAAATTTTTATTTGAAGGACCAAATGTGGTAGGCATTTAAAAGCCGTGAGACTAAATCTGAAAATTTTAATAATCAGGGATCAAATGTGAAAATAATCTCATACTCGTTGGACCAAAAGTGGAAATTTCTCTATACAATTCATAGCCCATCTATACATAATTAAGACCATCTATTAATGCTTAGAGGCTAAAAGGCATAATTCGTAACTCGTTACAATTGAGGCTATAAACACCAGTATTGTCTTTATGAAATTTTGTGAATCTTAACTAAAAATCCTTGTCGTGAGGGAATTGTATTTTCCTCCTTTTGTTGAATTGCAATTCATGGGGTACCTCCATGAATAGCAATTCGATAGATGTGAGAAAGGAAAAATAGATGAAATGACACTATTATTCTTGGTTATTATTACTATTATTATTATTATACAATGATAATTTAGTCTTTATACCACTTATTTCCTTCTTAATTCCAATAATTCTATTTCTATCTACCAAACAACGTAATTTGAATTCATACTTTATTCTCATCTTAATCTTTTTTCATCGAATTACAATTTATTTTCTTCATAATTCATTCCTTACAACCAAACGCCCAGTTATTATGTTGTAATATGAATTCTCCCTAGATGCATGCATCCTCAAACTCCAAGCGAGTTTGAGACCAACTCTTTACTTACACACATGAGGCCAAGTTCAAAGTAGTGGGCAATGATAGTCATCCTCATCCCTATTTGTTATTTTCCAAATCTAATGAAATCCAATGAAATATTAATGTAAAATGATCAAAATCGTTACTTTAATTTCATGCTTTCATGATAATTGATGGATTAGGTGTAAACACAATCAGAATTTATATTAAAATATAATTCAAGATCTAAATATATATTTTCTTCTATAAGTTCGATAAAAAATTACTTCTCTAACAAATTGAATCCCCAATCTCAAGGACCTCCACACCCCAATCTAACGGAATATTTGAAATATTGTAAATCACAATGATTCAATAATTCTTTCAAAATGTTGAACCCCAACCCGACAGAGCATTTGAGAAGATGTAAATCATGGTAACTCAACTGAACATGAACCACATAGGCTAAACCTTTGCTCACTGCGCACAAGGAACCCCCTCACTTTGAGAGGTTGCTCCTACACTGCTGCTGATGAGACTCAATCCCTGACCATTGTTCTAAACTTTCACATTTATTACCAGTTGAGATGCTCATGCGGGTACAATGACTCAATAATTTAACAGACCGGCCAAATGCCGGTTATATTACTTTTTCCGCGTATTTGGGTAGAGTTGTAATTCTCCTCTTACTAAGAATGCGTGATCCAATTTGATGCTTGCTGGGATTTGGATTCTCTCCCATCTGCACCGCACAATACTCACGCCTTCCTCCTCCCTCCCTCCCTCTCCAAAAAGATAACATTTTTTTGTCACTTTTTCCCAAAACCTAATTCTATAATTTCTCTTCTTTTCTTCCCTATTTATACCCCTCCCCATGCCCGCCTCCGTCATCCCCAAACTCCCTAATCTTTTCTCTCCTCACCATGTTATAGCCTCTTTTTCTGCCCATACAAATTCTTTTCATTCTTTTTTGATTTCTTCTTTTGACTATGGCTGTCGCTTACCGCCATTTTGCCGCTTCGGAGAAGCGGAAGAAGACGGCGGAGCCGCAGCCGTTGGTGGCGGCGCCGGCGCAGATTTCCCCGGTTTTGCTGAGCCAGGATGAGTTGAAGAAGCTGGCGGCGTATAAGGCGGTGGAGTATGTGGAGTCGGGTATGGTGGTGGGATTGGGGACGGGGTCCACCGCGAAGCACGCCGTGGACCGCATCGGGGAGCTTTTGCGGCAGGGGAAGCTGGAGAACATCGTGGGGATACCCACCTCCAAGGCCACCCACGCGCAGGCGGTGGCGCTGGGGATTCCCTTGTCGGATTTGAACGCGCACCCGATTCTGGATCTGGCCATCGACGGCGCCGACGAGGTGGACCCGCACATGAACCTGGTGAAGGGGCGGGGCGGGTCGCTGCTCCGGGAGAAAATGGTGGAGGCGGCGTCCAAGAAATTCGTGGTGATCGTCGACGAGTCCAAGCTCGTGGGGCATTTGGGCGGCAGCGGGCTCGCGATGCCGGTCGAGATCGTCCCCTTCTGCTGGGAATTCACCCTCCGACGACTCGAGATGCTGTTCATGGAAGCCGGTTGTGTAGCCAAGCTAAGAACAACAACCACCGCCGGCGCCGGCGATACCAATCAGCCTTTCGTTACCGACAATGGCAATTACATCATCGATTTGTATTTCAAGAAAGAAATGGGCGATTTGAAGGCCGCCAGCGACGCGATCTTGAGGCTCGCCGGTGTGGTTGAGCACGGCATGTTTCTTGACATGGTAACCACCGTGATTGTCGCCGGAAAGCTCGGCGTCACCGTTACAAACCAAGTAGGAAACTAATGCTAATCGGAGCTAGAATTTGATACTTTAGCTAATATACCCCATAATCTTAATCTTAATTTAGTCCCTATTTAGTCTTTGCTTTCAATGGGCAATCTCCCTATATTATGTACCTGGCAAAGATTGGTGCTTTTTGCATCAACTCATACATTTAACTACTTAGTTTTATCACCTAAAAAGTTCTGGAATTCCCATTCTTTTTCTTCACATGATTGGTGAACTACAGAGCTTAACTTGATTGTGAAATAGAACATATCCTTAGTGAATTCCTTTCTCTATAACTTGCTCTAACATGCATTTTGAAAGAAGGGATGATAGATTATCTGCAAACACTTGAGTTCTTTCAGAAGTTTGGTTTTGAAGGGGATAAATTGCTATCCTCTGCAGCTGTACTATGCAGATAAATACACAGAAAAGTATTATCCTTTGAATTGCTAGTTGAATGCTGTCCTTTTGTTCTTGTTTGTGGGTTTTGTGAGACTTTAGAGCCACCAGAATAGAATTGAAGATTCTGATAAGCACATTGGTTAGGCATAAGAGGTGATGCATTTTATGTGCAGCGTGAGAAGGTGACATTTTTGTTTGTGCACTGGGAGAATGACATTAGCTCTGTAGAAATCTTAGCAGGGATGTTGATTTTGGGAGTAAACCCAGGTTTCTATTTTTGGATACAGTAATTAATCCTCTCGCTGAATTATAGGCATATAAGGGTGGGACAGCATTTTCAGAGTAATTCAGGTTTCTATCATCGGACACTGTGACTAATTCCCCCACTGAATTATATGACATTAGCTCTGTAGAAATCTTAGCAGGGATGTTGATGCAGTCATTTACATTGTGTTCTGAAAACATTTCCATTTGATTTCTTTCTTTTCCTTCTCTCCTTGATCTAATTTCTCCTTACACAAAGGGAAATTCTCTCGCCCTCAATATCTTACACTGTGATCTGACAGGATAGTGAAAGGATAAATCACAGGTTCGATACTGTTCTAATTCTTGTTCCTCTGCAAAAATGGAACTTTAAAGTCTTGGATGTCTTGTTAAATTATCCATGTACGATCTTGAATGATTCTTGTGGGTTTAGGATTAATTTAACGTAAATTGAGATACATAATGTATTAAAAAGTTATTCATATACGTTTAAGATAGTAACCGTAACTATCCATATACATTTAAGATAGTAACACTTTAATTCTGCTGAGGTCTGTATCCCCAATATTAGGAATAGTTATTTCATTTTCATAAGCTGTTACAACAATTACTTCACCATTTCTAGATTTTTTTGGGGTAGTCTTAACAATGCACTTAATAATAGAAAAAGATTATACTCCAATTTTGTGGTTATCATTTTCTTGATTAACTAAGAAACAAGTGATAGATATGGAGAGAACAGGCCAAGATTTTGTAAATTCACAGAAATTTCCCAATAGAGTGACAACAAGTTGTGCCATTTGATTTATAGTGTTGTGATCTGTGGGGACAACAAGATTCTTGCTTCTTGTTGGGTAATGTATGCAGAGAACATAAAAAGACGGTGTGGGGTGGTCCCATAAGTGTTGGACTACTGATACACAATAGGAAAATGTAAATGTAAATGTCAGAAGACCAAATTGGGGTATCAGTCACAATTAAGCAACTGCACCACTAAATTTATGTCATTTTTTTGAATGGTGAGTAAAAGTGATGACCAATTTGATTGGACAATCATTATAGTAATATATCATAGATTATGGTCCATCTTGTAAGGTGGAGATCTGGGCAATTTATATCGTACACCACGACGCACATAGTAATGTGCGTCCGGGCACCAAACGCGCGCGATTCATGTTGATGTCATTCCATTTATCAGAACAGACGAAACCTCATTATGTGTATTCAGTTAAAATTTTATGTGTATTGTGTTATGAGTTTATGTGTATTCAATTAAGAGTTTATGTATATTTTGTTAACCAAACCCATTATGTGTATTTGGTTAAAAGTTTCTGTGTATTGTGTTATGAGTTTATGTGTATTATGTATTATGTATTATGTTAGATTATGTGTATTCTGTTATGAGTTTATGTGCATTCGAAACAGAGGAATTTTTTTTAACAACTTAATAAAACGACGTCGTTTTGGGAGGCGCGGGGCGCACAGTGCTATGTGTGCCCTGGTGCACGGTATAACGATTGGGAGAACTGATGACGTAAAGTACATTCTTAACACACAAAATTGTTATTTTTTAAAGGTACATTACTTAAGTAAATAAAGATACCTTTAGAATATTAAAAATGAACATTTGTTCATAGTCTACATTGCAATTTGGACCATAATTCACAATATAATTTTTTCGTTGGCAATTAATGAATTGTTACACCATGGACCAAGATCAACCTTGCACTGTGAATTTTACTCCAGACAACATTAAAATTATGTGCGTGCAGTTAACATATTATGTGTTCTCAGCTAACAAATTTTGCACCTATAAATATATTGAAGGTACATAATATATTAACTGCATACACATAATTTAGTTTATTGTAACTTGTAAGTTCATATAAGTTATTGTACACTAAAAATTAACTTACAATATTTTTTTTTTGAAATACTCATAATATTTTTTTTTATAAGGTAGTATCTATTATATACTTTTTTAAACATGATAACTGAGATGACATCACATTACATAATAATGGTGAACTTACCATATAATAAAAGTAAAATATTCTTCCCAATAGTATAAATCCATCTTGCTACGCGAACTCTATCCATGTTATAACTATTGTACAAAATTGATTATGCCAACTACTATTCATTTTCAAACTAAGGCCTGTGGGCCGCTAATTCAGTTTACTGGGCTGTTATAGTTGGGCCAGGTTTGCTGTGTCCTCTTCTTTTTAGGTGTATTTTCTCTGGCAAATTATGCTGTGCATCCGTATGCACCATGCATGGTGCATACGGATGCAAAAACGACGTCGTTTTATTAAAAACGCGCGTCTCCCCTTAAAAAAAAAAAATTCAGGTTCGATTCCCAGCAATAACATATGAACTAAAATTCCAGAATCGATTAACTATAATTCCAGAATCGATTAACTATAATTCCAGAATCTATGAACTAAAATTCCAGAATCTAATCTATGAACTAAAAATTCCAGAAAGAATGAACTAAAATTCCATAATCTATGAATTAAAATTTCAGAATCGATGAACTACAATTCCAGAATCGATGAACTATAATTCCATAATCTATGAACTAAAATTCCATAATCTATGAACTAAAATTCCATAATGAATGAACAACATAATGCTGTTGCTGGGAATCGAACCTGATCTTTTTTTTAAGGGGAGACGCGCGTTTTTAATAAAACGATGTCGTTTTTGCATCCGTATGCACCATGCATGGTGCATACGGATGCACAACATAACTACTCTATTTTCTCTACTTATAATATTTCATGGGATTTCTATTCTTTAGAGATTCATCAATCTTTATATCAAGCACCGGAGCGCACAATGTATTGTGCGTATGACCCAAAATGAAGATGTTTTTATAAGTTATATGGAAAGTTGATGCGACGGACATCGTTCCATTCGTCCAATCCCGTTACAGTTTTTTTTTTTTTTAACACTTGTGTTTATGTGTATTTTGTAAGAGTTTATGCGTATTATTTTAAGAGTTTTTGTGTATTATATATTATGTTAGATTATGTGTATTATGTTATGAGTTACATATGTATTCTATTATACAATTTTGTACATCCAAAAGAAAGATTTTTTTAAATTTTTTTTTAGAAATTAACGGCAAAAACGGAAAACAACGTCGTTTTGGTCAGGACACACATGCTGGTGCACGATATAATTTGCCGAGATTCATGGCGTAGTTTCATTTCTATCCTCTGTGATGTACCCTCTAGAAACAATGAATCTAGCAATTCAAGGGTAAGAATGGAATTGCATCTATACAATCATAAGATTTTTGTTCACATTCAATATGTTTATGCACATTGGTGGTGTTTATAGGTATTCTTTATCATAGTTTTAAACTTAATTGTATTTTTCTTAATTGATATATGTCGTTATAATTTTGTGTGGGGAATAGTATCATATTTATTTTATCAATCAAGGAAATGTATTTATTTATAATTGAAGTTATTGGTGTTAATGACTCTAAGGGCATAACAAAATCTTTACACTCATCTGCAAGCATATATAATATAAATAAAATAGATCAAAACATGATTTTAACATAGCGTGAAAATTAAAACAGAAAAATTGTGAGTCTTTTTAGATTAAGTCAAACGAAGGATTCCGCTATATTGATGTAGATAATGCATTAACACATGTACATATTTAAGCTTTGATAGTAATTGATTAATGGAGTTTCATAACTACAAATAATTATAATTATCAAACTAATTATTTTACCAATTGGTTTGAATTTGTACCAAAGTGGTCATTAACCGATGGAATAAGACCTTTCTGAAGGCTGCCTATTGTTCACGTGCCGCTTGATTCGGATGTTCATGCACGTGCAATACTAAACCTCTAAACCCAAGCCATAATAAATTAAAGAAAATATATAAAAAATAATAATAATAACACTTTTTTCCTAAATTATATACTTATAGTACTTTTTCCCTTGAATTATATATGTATTCACTACACAATCGTTATGCCATAGAACCGTGTTCACCATTCATGGTGAACACGGTCCCAACGGTGTTAGTGCACCGTTATCTTTTTTTTTTTTCCTTAATTAATCGCGTGACTTTTCTTCTTCATTTCAAATTTCGCGGTTTAACTTTAATTTGAGGTGAGCAATGATTTCGGACATTCATAAATTATGAATACATGCCTGCACATTCACTTTGGAACCATGCTTACACATTCTCGTCCGAAACCATGGCTGCTCCTCTGTAGCGCAAGCTGCTTCAACATTCATAAATTATGAATTTTCTGTTATGAGATTATGAATTTACAGTACATTCATAATCTCATAACAGAAAATTCATAATCTGACCAAACGCGCGCCATTAACACCACATTCGCGAAATTTTTTTTTAACGTAAAAATGGCGCCTTTTGGACCCATGGTGAACACGTTTCCAGGGCATAATTTACCTTCACTATATTAGTCCTTCAATTATTCTTAAAGTGGACATCTTTAGCCTTAAAATAAATATTTAATTTATTTTTCTTTTCCAACAAATTATTGCTTATATGTAGGGATGACTACGATTTGGTTCAAACCGAACTAGACACTGTAACAACCAAACTGAAATGTTCTTGTTATGATTTAGAACCGGAACCCAATATTTGGATTTCATTTTATTAAAATCGCTAACCGGAACTACCGGTTCCAGTTCTAAACAAAAAATACATTAATTGTTGAATTTAAACTATTTTAAAAATAAAATATATAATTAAAAAAAAAAAGGTTTGAACCAGCGGTTCAAATCGAATTCAAAACCGTGAACCGCCAATTCAAAATCAAACCGAATCGTTGTCATATCTACTTATATGTGAAAATCAAAATAAATACGAAAATGAATATACACGATTTGTAAATATTATAATTCTAATGTTAAACTAATGATAGTAGTTGTTCCAATTTCGAAGATTCATTTTTTTTTTGTTCGTGATTTTAATAAACCGAAACCTAAATATTGAGTTTTAGTTCTGAATCATAACCGAAATCTTTCGATTCGGTTGCTATAGTGTTCGATTCGGTTCGAACTGAACCGTTGTCATCCTTATATATAAGCAATAATTTGTTGGAGAGAGAAAATATATATTTATTTTAAAGGTAAAAATGTCTATTTAATATATCAAGAAAAAAGTCGTAACTTTTAGAAATAATTGAGGGCATAATATGAATACATGAATAATTTAAGAGGAACAATTCTATAAGTATATAATTTAAATGGAAAAAGTGTCATTTTTCTAAAAAAAAGAAAAAGAAAAAAAAAAAGATAATAACAAAAACATACTTTTCTTAAAGATTTGACGAAAGAAAATGACGGATTGGTAAATGGATGGGAATAGTCAAGGATTGTTGTGTCCCCACCTTTACACCTTATCCCCGGTTAAAGGAACCAAGAATTACACTACCCCATCTTTCGGCTTTGATTGATTGAAAATTATTATGTGCGATCTTTCTAACCTTTCGGTGTATATGTAATGCGGAGTATATTTTAAGAATATTTTAGCACCCACTAAAGAATGTGATTGTTGCTGCATGTTTTCTACATATCTACTATACTAATAAGAGCTCAAGAGAGTTAGGCCTATAATGGGTAGAAAAAATGGCGGTCAAATTTTTTAATCAAATAAATGGCTCAGATTTATCAGATTTTAATTTTTCCATAAGATTTCCCAATTTATCCCTAATGAATATGATTATCCGTTAACTTTTTCGTTAAATATTATCTTTTCCATTAAATTCTGTTAGTTCACCGTTAACTTACCCATTGATTTCAATAAGAAAGGTCTTAAGCTCGAACCTCATCCCAATCAAAGTTGGCATAATTAGTACTCTATTTTACTCTTATTAAATTATAATAAATAATAATTTAGTAGCTACAACAAAAAAATAATACATATGCGTTTCGTTAATTTAGAATTATGTGTCTACAATGTCTTTATTCAAAAAAGATTATTCATTATCAATAAATTAAATAAGAGAAATAATTTCATTAGTTATATTGTCTTTATTTTTCTTCAATATAAAAATTATTTACATTCAAATTCATCAATTGATTATATTCGCTACATTGTCCCTACAATATCTTTATTAAAAAAAATTATTCATTATCAATAAATTAATTAAGAAAAATAATTTTATTAGTTATATTGTCTTTATTTTTCTCCAATGTAATTAATTATATTCACTACATAGTCTATTGTCTTCTTTTTTGTGCACTATTTTTTTAATTAAATATCAAAGTTATAATACAAAATAATGCTATGTATTTATTTACAAAGTATTTTATTAATACCATGAAAAAATTAAAAAGATATAATTAATAAAGCCAATCATATTAACTACTTGAAGGATTTGTTGACAAATAGAGTATTCAAATCACACAACAAATTAAAGTGAGAACTATCTCGCAATGTCTTTGTTTGACAATCAACAGTTAGCGGTTAGCGTTAGCGGATTTGACCATCGAATTATATCAACGATTGGTAAAAAGATATTTGAAAAAATTAACTGTTTAGATTAACATGTAAAATGACCTAAGGGTACGGTATACATATATTTAATAATAATAATAATAATAATAATAATAATAATAATAATAATAGTTTTAAAAAAATAAAAATATAAAAATATATATAATTAAGCCAATCATATTAACTACTTGGGAATTTATTGACAAAAAGAGTATTAAAATCACACAACAAATTGAAGTGGGAAACTACCTCGCAAGCTCTTCAATATTAGTATATATTTAATATTTTATGCCTTAATTTTTATTTGATCTCCCTTATGTCCCGTATTTGGTTTCAACCGTACCTATACAATTATTTTATTAACAGTTATAATCAATCTTGACTATATTATCTTGCATTTGTAAACTTATAATTACCTATTTAAATAGGCAAATTTAACATTCAATTATATATGCATGATCAATTCCAATATAATCTTGCATTGATATATATATATATATATATATATATATATATATATATATATATATATATATATATATATATATATATATATATACTTTAAAGTACTTATTTTTAAAAAAAAACATTGGGCATTATCCCAATCGCGCAATGCGCGTAAAAAACTAGTAATAAAATATAATTGCGTTAATCAATTGTAAAGTTAATCGAAAAAGAAAATAATAAATTAAAACATATTTACCTTATATTGGAAAACATAAAATAAAGAATTTAGTATATTAACGTAGTTAGTAAGCAGCTTACTAGTGTAATTATAAAATTTAAAAATTCGCACATGAAAATTAGGATATGACTGATAGGCTGATTGCATGACTCGCGATTTACCTCTGCAGTGACTCTAAGAACTGTGGTACTGTGAACTTAGAATTAATCTGACGAAATTGGGATCACCTAAGTATAAAAAAATAATAATAAATAAAATTAAAAAATTAACTGTAATATGTTAATATGTGTAACATAGCCTTAGAAGAGTTGGTAAATGATTGTTAATACAATTGTAAAGTCAAATGATTAACTAATGATGATATCGAACGTTGTGCTCATAAATAAAATATAAAAAACTTTTTTAGTGTATGAAAATATATATGTTTGCATTTAATTAATTATCAATATAGACTTTTTTAATCAATATTGATAAATTGGTGTACATTGAGTAGAGCATTTGGTTGGGGGAATTGCAATTATGTTTTTCTTTATACAATATTTATATTTTGATACAACTTTTTGAACAACCATTTATATATTGAAATTTTTGAAAAAAAGGGTACGTCTAAAGTTAAGACATTGCACAAGGTCCTAATTTTTATTGGAACGGCCCTACGGCTCTAGCTAGTCTTGAGCAAGAATTCTGAGGTTTAGGATTAACCTAATCTAAATAGAAATTTAATGTATAAAAAGAAAAAGAAAGTAAAAAGCCTAAAATTAACAAGAGTGAATTCTGAGGTTTAGGATTAACCTAATCTAAATAGAAATTTAATGTATAAAAAGAAAAAGAAAGTAAAAAGCCTAAAATTAACAAGAGTGAAGTCAAAAGTCATCACAATATGTCTTCTCTAATTGGTTAATTTCATTTCTCTCCTCTGAAATTCCAAAGTCCATCCATTCACAACTTTAAACTTCACTGTTTGGTTTGATTTAAAATTTTGACAGATATATTAACATTTAACAGAAAGAGCAAAAGTGCTATTTTGTTAATAACTTGATGACTAAAAATGGTGACAACCATAATATATAGGAACAAAATTTGCTAGTACTAAAACTCTAAAAGTTCAATTTTTGCATTGAAAAGTATGCAAGATTCAATCTGGCCGCATAGCACAGTGGATTAGTGCATTTGATTTTGAATTAGAAGGTCGTGGGTTCAACTCCCACTGTGGTCAATATAAAAAGTAAATGAATATTTGGATCAGAAGGTCGTGGGTTCGATCGCAAATGAATACTTATTTTAGACGGACTAAGTTGGAGAATTTCCAAACATGGTCATTTTTCAACCCGGCCCGTATAACCCGTATCCCACCCCCACCCTCAAATTTGTCAATTGTTATGCCATGGACGCGGATCCACTTTGCAAATTTGTCAAGGTGGACCCAGGTCCAAAACGCGTGTCTAGAATAACGGTGCCATTAGTCGTACTGTTTCCTCAGCCTACGATATTTTTTTTTTTTGTGAATATAGACTTCAAAATTTGTGAATATAGAGTTCAAAATTTGTGAATATAGAGTTCAAAAATTGTGAATATAGGTTCAAAAATTGTGTTATACTGTTGAATATAGAGTTCTGTAATTGAAAATATAGAGTTATGAAATTGTAAATATAGAGTTCTGCAATTGTTAATATTGAGTTCTTTAATTTTGTATACTGAGATCTCAAATTGTGAATATAGAGTTCTAAAATTGTGAATATAGAGTTCAAAAATTATGAATATAGAGGAATGATTTCAGAAGACAAACAGCAAGGAAGAAAGTAATTTGTTTTTTCAAAATTCAGACGACATCATTTTGCTTCAAAACAATGTCATTTTGGACCCGAGTCTACATCATAATTTGCCCATATGTTATCATTTATTAAAGTAGTGTTATAATAATAATAATAATAATAATAATAATAATAATAATAATAATAATAATAATAAAGCACTAATAGAAAAAAATGTCATTGTTGCATAAGAATTAAGTAACTCAATAGATAAAATTTCAATTTTAGTCACACAACTATAGGGGTTTTGTTAATTTCAGCACCTAATTTTCAAAAATATCAATTTAGTACATTGAGTATGTAATTTTTATCAATTTTAGTAAGTCCGACCAAATTTGACCGAGAAATTTTTGAAAAAAGGGTACGTCTAAAATTAAGACATTGCAAACGGCCCTGCGGCTCTAGCTACACTTGAGCAAGAATTCTGAGGTTTAGGATTAACCTAATCTAAATAAAATTTTAATGTATAAAAAGAAAAAGAAAGTAAACAGCCTAAAATTAACAAGAGTGAAGTCCAAAGTCTTCACAATATGTCTTCTCTAATTAGTTAATTTCATTTCTCCGCTCTGAAATTCCAAAGTCCATCAGTTCACAACTTTAAACTTCACTGTTTGGTTTGATTTAAAATTTTGACAGATATATTAACATTTAACAGAAAGAGCAAAAGTGCTATTTTGTTAACAACTTGATGACTATAAATGGTGACAACCATAATATATAGGAACAAAATTTGCTAGTAATAAAACTCTAAAAGTTCAATTTTTTCATTGAAAAGTATTCAAGATTCAATCTGGCCGCATAGCGCAGTGGATTAGCGCGTCTGACTTCGGATCAGAAGGTCGTGGGTTCGACTCCCATTGTGGTCAGTATAAAGAGTAAATGAATAAATGAATATTTGGATCAAAAGGTTGGTTCGACTGCAAATGAATGTTTATTTTTAGACGGGCTAAGTTGGAGAATTTTCAAACATGGCCCTTTTTCGACCCGGCCCGTATCCCACCCCAACCCTCAAATTTGTCAATTGTTATGCCGTGGACGCGGATCCACCTTGCAAATTTGTCAAGGTGGACCCATGTCCAAAACGCGTGTCTAGAATAACGGTGCTATTAGTGGCACTGTTTTCTCAGCCTATGATATTTTTTTTTTTGTGTGTGTGAATATAAAGTTCAAAAATTGTGAATATAGAGTTCAAAAATTGTGTTATACTGTTGAATATAGAGTTCTGTAATTGTGAATATAGAGAACTTTAATTGTGAATATAGAGTTATGAAATTGTAAATATAGAGTTCTGCAATTGTTAATATTGAGTTCTTTAATTTTGTATACTGAGATCTAAAATTGTGAATATAAAATTCTAAAATTGTGAATATATAGTTCAAAAATTGTAAATATAGAGGGACGATTTCAGAAGACAAACGGCAAGGAAGAAAGTAATTTTTTTTTTCAAAATTCAGACGGCGTCATTTTGGACCCGAGTCTACATCATAATTTGCCCATATGTTATCATTTATTAAAGTAATGTTATAATAATAATAATAATAATAATAATAATAATAATAATAATAATAATAATAATAATAATAATAATAATAATAATAATAATAATAATAAAAACACTAATAGAAAAAAAAATGTCATTGTTGCATAAGAATTAAGTAACTGAATAGAGAAAATTTCAATTTTGGTCACATGTTTATAGGGGCTTTGTTAATTTCAGCACCTAATTTTTAAAAGTGTCAATTTAGTACCTTGAATATGTAAATTTTGTCAATTTTGGTCACTCCGGCCAAATTTGGCCTAAAAATTTTAATCCAACATTTAGTCTAAAATTTGAGGGGCAAAATAGTCTTTTCCATCTTTTCTCCTAATTGGTGTTGACCGAATGAAGTTGTTGACCCGGTTCAGACACATTTACCACCAAAAACGTCGTCGAACCTGGGCATGAACCGTCGAAAAGTCTGAAATTTCTAAACAACGCTGTGCTAAACATGCCAGCCTGTAATAAACTCGAATGCACAGTCCAGCAGGTTGGAGACGTCAAAATCAAATGATCAAAATCCTCCCTGTTTTCGCCTGCACCATCATGCTGAATTGCTGTTTAGCCCAGTTTTCAACGTTCTCGGTTCAACAGGCGGCCACCATGGACACGAAGCTCGGGTCCCTGAAAGCCCCGCCGGCGTCCTTCCCTGTTTTTCCAATCATTTTTACGATGGTCCTGGCGCTGACCTACGAAGAATTACCAAGACGGAGATGGGGATCTCCCACCTCCAGCGCGTCGGCGCCGGGCTGGTCCTCTCCATCGCCGCCATGGCCGTCGCGGCCGTTGTCGAAGTCAAGCGTCATCGTGTCGCGGTCGGATCGGGTCTCGCGCGACCCGCTACCCATTTCCTTCCTCTGGATCGCGTTCCAGTAACTTTTCCTGGGGTCGGCGGATTTGTTCACGCTCGCCAGGTTAATGGAGTTCTTCTTCTCCGAGGCGCCGGCAAGCATGAGATCGCTGGCAACGTCGCTGGCCATGGGGTACTATCTGAGCACGGTGATCGTGTCGGTGGTGAATAGCGTGACAGGAAACTCCACCCACCAGGCGTGGCTTTCCGATGAGAACTTGAACCATTACCGTCTGAAGAGATTCTACAGTCAACACCAATTAGGAGAAAAAATTTGAACAGACAATTTTGCCCCTCAGATTTTAGACTAAATATTGGATTAAAATTTTCTGGCTAAATTTGACCGAAGTGATCAAAATTGACAAAAATTACATACTCAAGATATTAAATTGACACTTTTAAAAATTATGTGCTGAAATTAACAAAACCCTTATAATTGTGTGATCAAAATTAAAATTTTCTCGAACTCAATATTTACAAATCGAACAAATAATATCCAATAACCCAAGAGCTATTATTAATTTTTTAAAAAATAAAATAAAATAAAATAAAACGCAAGTAACCTTACGTGTATAGTTTGTGTGTATTTGGTAACCTAATTTTCACAAGCAAACCATTTCTTTACGATTATCACAATATTTCCAACTATTTAATGTCACATCATTTATGACACATATTTCTTCATGCACTTTAACATAGACCCGTAAGGGCAACCTCATCACTTTGAATATTTTGATGGGTTTTTTCAGTTCCATGTAGAGAGATAGGGAAGAGATAAGAGGAAAAAGGAGAAAAAAAATCATGACAAAAAAAAAAAAGAAAAAAAAACAATTTCTCTACGCGCCCAATTGGATGTAACATTTTCCCACACGTGCATGTTGCGTTTGTACTTTCTCTCCTTTCCCCATCCAGTGGACTCCACAAAAATTTTGTCTTTGCAAAATCAATTTTTCATTTACCATTATTCATTTTAAATGTATAATATAGCAAATTAAACTCTTACTTAAGTGACCTAAATAGACTTTGACTAGAACCAAATTCAAAATAGATCTCATTGTCTCAAAATGATCACTTAACATGCTATTTTATCTAATTTTCTAATTATTATTATTATTATTATTATTATTATTATTATTATTATTATTTTCACTCTGCAAGTCGATCTTCGTCCAACTTAATTACCTGCATGACAGAATGACCTATCAATTACGTACAAGTTCCTCTTGAATTTGTTGAACACGTTTTTGACACCATATGGATGAAATTAGATCATATTGCTCCTTTTGGGAGACGTTCAAATTAGGAATAAGGTTCAAATTGGCCACCGAACGTAACCTGAAAATGCAATTAAGCCACTGAACGAAAAAAAAGATGCAATTAGACCATTGAACACCAAAAAATGTGCAATTAGGCACTGAACACTCCAAATGTATACAATTTCACCGGATAGCAGGTTACCTCCAATTTTAGCAGGTTACCTGCTTACGTGGCAGCTGAGTTGGCATTTTTAATAATTTTTAAATAATTTTTAATAACTTTTAATAATATTTAAAAAAAATTGAAAAAAAATAAATTTGTTTTAAATAATTTTTTTTAAAAAAAAACTTTATTATTAAACTTTATTAAAAATTATTTAAAAATTATTAAAAATGCCAACTCAGCTGCCACGTAAGCAGGTAACCTGCTAAAATTGATGGTAACTTGCTATCAGGTGAAATTGCGTACATTTGGAGTATTCAGTGGCCTAATTGCACTTTTTTTTTTTCATTCAGTGGCCTAATTGCATTTTCAGGTTACGTTCAATGGCCAATTTGAACCTTATTCCTTCAAATTATAATATAATTTGAAGATTTGAAGAATAACGTTGAAATTAGAACAACTATATTACTTCAATTGCATTTTTACCACATTATCTCAATTCACGAGTTCGGTTATTGTCAATACTCTCTCGATTGAGTCTATAGCACAAGATCTTTCTAGTACAATTTGTAGGCTATTGCACAAAAGTGGAATCTATT